AGAGCTAGCTTTAGTTAAATGCATATTGTATAATAAATCCACATACTGCTGAAAGCAGAAGAGTAAGCCTCTGTGTTGGAATGAGTTGTATCAAACCTGTCTTCCATTGCAGGATGCCATAACAAAGCTAGCACAGAAAGACTGATATGTAGAAGAGCAGAAGGGAAAATAAGTTCTCCTGTAATGTTTCCACAGAGGCACTAACTTCATACCTTTAATAAGTACATCCCAAGCAGATGAAATCAGCTCACGAAAGACTTGACAAATCATGTCTGTGTATTTTTGTAAATGGCTGATAACTAATATCCTTGATGAGGTAAACTTAATACAAAGATTTGAGAGTCCTTTCATTTGTACAAAGTTTAGAAATCCTGCTGTTCCCTTCTGATGCTGACTGTTGAGCTAGTTGTGTTTAAAATCACAGCTTTGCTAAGACTTGTCCTATTGTACAATGCCAAGACAGCTGATCTAAGACTAAGCACATAAGGAGGAAAAATAAAGGATTCTTGAGCAAGCAAAACTGTCTTGGTTTTCTGCTCCAAAGCCTCCCACCACCAACCCTGTTGAACTTCTGCTTAATGCAATAGCCTGCTTTAAAAAAAAAAAAAAAAAGCCAGGAGGCAGATCTAATAGCCTAGACAAAACATAGCATAATCATCCAAAACCTGGAATATATTTTGACTTGGGTTAGCAAGCCAAGACAGAAGTTAACAAGGGCATTTGGGGAACAAAAATTCACAGAATTAAGGACAGGATAGTCTCACTATTTTATTGTATTCAATTTAAGTCTTGCCTAAGACAAGCATTTACACTAACTTCTTTGCAAAAGGGCAAAATAAATTGATTGCTTAGAGAACTCTTTATTAAAAATTACTATAATGCAGGCTGATTGAAAGTATAACACTACATAGCTTCAATACTGCAGAGCTCAACATGGGCTAGCTGCTCTTCTGAGAGGAGCTGTGGAGGTGCAAGTGAGCAGCATGCTGGCACAGCCAGGGTGGTCACAGTGCTAAGACAGCGTTCACAGCTGGCTCTGATATGTGTGCCACACTACAGCATGGGCAAGACCTTAATATATGACTTAATTCTTCAATAGTTTGTGTGCCAAACACAGGAATTCCTAAACACCACGAAGACCAAAATGGATACCTTGTGTATCCCATATTTGCATCCCATAGAAAGTTACAGTTTAGCTAAACAATTAGTACTGTTTTCTAGAGAAAAGCAGTAACTAGTGGGTTTAATCATCTTGCGCTGCAAGACAAGTTGGGCATGCCTGACGTGGAAGTTTAAAAACCAAAACATAGACAGGTGCAGATGCCGCCTCCAGAAGTATGATTAAAAAAATAAAAATACTGGAAGTAACAAGGACTACTATCTACAGCTTGCTTTTTTTTATTATTTTTAAAGCACAGATTTGAGAAAAGAAGCCTGCACAATAGTCTGACTCATACTCGCTACAGAGGTGGAAAAGCTCTATGCCATCTCAGTCATTTACTTGGGGTAAATGCTTCCAGCCTTCCAGGGAACATGACTTTTTTTTTTTTTTCCTTTTTTAAACCAGCTTTTGCTATTACCATTTAAAAATGGAATACCTGGCTGTGCAGTTTTGCGAAATGCTGGCTTTTTACCCAAAGGATTGGCTACTGCTTCCCAGTAACGATTTTCTCCTTTATGATCTGCTGGTGATGTTTATAATGCCGATGATGGAAAAGAACCCAATTTGATTACAAGTACTGAGACTGACTGGCTGTTCTGGAGAGTAATACACCACATTTATACCCTCTGTTAGTACATAGACTTGACCTGCTGCTTGAATTCATGTGGTGCCATTAACACAGATCATTCTGTTTTCTTACTCACATTGAAATGAGTTTTGCTGTCTTTATGATGCGAACAAAGATGGTATAGCCAGCATAGCAACGTATGAAGTCCAAAATAACTTTTATTAAGAAACCAGGAAGGCACAACTGTGTTTACTTGCAGCAGGTGACCTGAGTTAGCAGGGAATTTAACTCTGCTTTTGGCTACTATGAACAGAATCCAACTTTGCAGAGATGTTTCACAACTAAGAGTAAAAATTTTCTCCACTGCTAGATTCAGCAACATTTAGTTGCCTGCTCCTCAGTAGCAAGATTAAACAGACACAGCATCCACATAAGACAACCAAACTTTAAGCAGATGGAAGTCAACCAGGGCCTTCTGCTCCTTTTTAGTGCTCATTAAAGTATTCAGTCAGCGCGTCCATGAGCTCCTGCTTCTTCCCCCCACCCTTCAGCCCATAAAGCCTGCATGCGTCCTTCAGAACAGGTACAGTGAGCTTGCCTAGGGTCCCCTTCTGCACGTGGCTCTGCAGCTCATCTTTGGAGATTTCTATCTTGGGCTTCTTCTCAGTTTGACCATCAGAAGCTAGAAAGATAAATTTTAGATCACCAAGATTTTTAAAAGTTTTTTAATAGAAAGTCATCGACGTTTCTTACACATATCACAGTTAATGCCCGTTAGCACATGGTACTTTAACAGCTACCTACACACTCACAGACCAGGTTTCCATATTTTGTTTTATGAAGTAGGTGTCACTCACTACATAAGTCACATAGTATATTTCATACTTTGAGATCACTCATATGAATGAAACTTTGTGTTCTGATAGAAAGACCACCCCCAAATGAAACTTTTAAGGGATTCTCATCTACAGGAGAATGCAACTATTCCACAGGGAGTTCTGCTAACTGACACTCCCACTTTATGCAGAGTTTCATAGACTCCCAAACTAAACGTGTACTTCAGCATTATTTAGACATTTAGCCCTAAAGATGCCCATCTTGGACTCGCTAAACAGCCCGTCCATAAAAGCCTGCTTCCTCACCAAGAACACAAACTGAAAGCATGAACGATTTTACTACTGTTATAAACCCCACAAAGTTATTAATAACAATAAAATAATAATATATTATGCAGTAATTTACCCACATTGCTTCCTACAGTTCTGTATGTTTTCCCTATGCAGTTTCTCATTCCAGCAGTTCTCTGGCTGGATACTACAATATACTCTAAGAATCACCGCTGGATATAAGTCCACTTTGTTGTGGAGATGAGTAAAGAGTTATTGCACAAGCAGCTTCTTTAAACTATGAGACAAACTGAAAACAGACAAGTCTCTAAACAAACAGATACCACATTGCATGTCTGCACCATCATTACTTACCTTGTTTTCGCTTTACAGCCTTCCCATCGGGATTGTAGTCAGGGGGATAAACCAGCTGCTTAAACTCCTCCACCAGGTTGCCCAGCCTGCGGTTCATCTCTTCAGCCTTTGGCACTGGCAAAAGAGAAAGATTTGCCCTCTCAAAAACCAAGTAATCACAGGAAAGTCTAAATGATGCCATCACCAGATACAGTTGTGCTTCTGTAATAACTAGCATGCAAGTGTCTTGCAAGCGTGCAAAATGCAAAGACCTATGTTATGGTATTCACAAATGAGAAATTTACAGCTCTTGGTAACAGCAAGTGTTTGTATTATACATATGTAATGGACTCCCACATATCCCTGAACAGGAAATATATACACAGAACAAAACTGACACAGTGGAAATGATATAGAAGATCTCTTACTTGGTTGCACTGTTACCCAGGTCTAATCTCAGACATTTAAAATACTACAGGTTACTATCTAAGGTTATGGGTAGTTTGAGGCAGAACAGCTTGTTTCTGTCATGTATTTGTATGATATCTAGCACAGAGACCTAGATTATTTGTTACGTGTCACTTCAGAAGAGACAAATAGTTACTCTAACGCTATTTCTGGAGTACAACATAATTTTAAAAAAGAAACTTCCCCCTCAGGAAAAGGTTTCTATCCTTTGACAAGATATTCTCATATGAAAACTCTGATAGCCACAAGGTGGCATCATTGCCTCCTAACAGCATAATTAAATAATTCTGCCCATTTATCAGACTGAAATATTAATTAGACTCTTGAGAAGAGGACTGTCAGAGAAAACATTTGTCACCATAGAAAAAAGGTGATTCAATTTTAATTCTGGAGGTAAAGTGATCAATTTTTCCTTTATCTTAGAAGTGACAGCATTAGAAAGTAAAGTTTCGGTATTTCAGAATGGACACATCCAGAATTCGACACCTTGGAACTGCACACAACTAAAATATTTTTTAAAAGATATTTGATATTGTAGTAGCACATCTCTGACTTAGAACAAAGTCGAGCCCTCTACCCCAGTTGCCTTTGCACCCATCAATAATTCTCACTTGTAAGATCTTCAGCTTGTTCTGGTTCCACCATATCCAGCGCCAAAGCCTCCAGATTCCTGAAGTGCTGCTGCAATACTGGGTTCTCAAAGCTGTCAGGCCTGTCAAGAATCCCCCAAAATGTCAATGCATGCTGCCAAGATGAGAGACAAGACACTTAAGATCTGCCACCAGTCTATTTCAAAGTAAAACTTCCCTCTTTTCCACTTAACAATCCATCTCCTCAGAAGAACTGCTTTTCCTCTTTTCAATTTACCTGCTGAATCACTATCCCG